AGTAGTGTTTTAATTTTACAACTTTTTTTTTTTTAACGAATTCTAAATCACTTGAAATTTTAGGAGTGTGCTCATCAAAAATATTTGAATCTTCGAAAAATATCAAAAAAATATTTTACATGAAATAAATTGATCAAAATACCCCCGATAAGTTTCGGATGTATTTTGGTCATTTTTTTTGCAAATAATTTTTTTTATATTTTTATTAGGTGCGCATTGATGATAAAAACACACGCCTAAAATTTCAAACGATTTGGACTTGTAGAAAACATATTTTTATTAGGTAGTCACCTTCAGATCGGTCGAGATTCAATCTAGGCCGTTGGGCTCATATGTTCATGTGAGCTAGTGGGCTAATCCCAGCTTTTTCAAATATATATATATATATATATATAAAATAATACATCTATTAAGAAAAGAAATTCTACAATTAATTAATTTATAAAAAATGAATTTCTGAATTCAATTATTTCTATTTTATATTAGATTATAGAATTTCTTGATATTCTATTTTTATTATAGAAAAATAAAATTTTAATTCAAATATTAATATTATCTAAAAATATTAATATCATATTTTGATTCTTTTATGTTAAAAATAAAATTAATTTCTTATTTATTACTATTATAATTTGAATCTATTTATATTTATTTTATATTATGATTTATTGTTTACTGTAAAGTAAATTACTTATTACTTATAAAGTAAGAAATTTAATTCTAATTAGAGAGTAGTATAGTAATACTATTAGGATATAGGTGTAAATCAGATTTGAAATATTCAATTTCATATTAAGAAATGTATATAAATTAAATTAAGAATTTAGTAAAGTAAATAAGTATTAAGTGAATGTATAAATGTAAAGGAAAGGAAATTCCATTTGAAATGAAATTTTTCAATGAGGGTAAGAAGTAAAAAGATAATGGGAGTACGAAGATAGTCCAATTGATCCGAATTCATAAGAATCCAAAGAGGGCGGAGATGAAAGAAAAGATACATAAGATTCAAGTTTCAATCTTGATAAACAAAAGTACTTTCTTACTTTGATAAAATATAAAATAAAAGAAAATCAAGGGTAAGTTGTACGAAAATGGAGCTATGGAATCTTGCACAACTAATTTATTATTCCGGCTTCAATGGTTCCATCATAGATTTCAGTAAGGGCTCCTTCAAAAAACAAAAAAAAAAGAAAAGAAAAAGGAATACTTTCTTATCTTTTCTTTCTGAAATCTTAGGTTTCTTTCTTCTCCTCTTTCATCAAATACCCCTAAGGATACATAAGAACTCCCTCATATTGTTATCCACACACACACACATATATATCCCACATCCACATATTGGATTTATTTAAAAAATATTAAAATTATATTACCAATATACAGTCCTGACTGTCAGATCGGCCCAGATTCAATCTGGCCCGTTGGGCTTACACTGTTCCATGAGCCAATGAGCTCACCCTAGCATCTTCTTATATATAAAGCTCATGTCAACTCAACGGGCTAGTTTGAATTTGAATCGATTCAATTATCACAATTGTATTTCATAATTAAATTTTAAGGTTATTGTCTACAAATCCAAATACTTTAAATTTGAAGCGTCTATTCGTCAAAAATAGTCGAATCTAATAAAATATTAAAAAAATAATTTGCATAAATTAAATTGATCAAACTACTCCTGAAATGTTTCGAGGGTATTTTGGTCAATTTATTTATATGAATTATTTTTTAATATTTTTATTAGGTGCGCCTTGATGAGAAGAGTTTATGCTCCAAATTTTATACCATTTGGATTTATATAAAAAATATTGAAATTATATTACCGATATACAGTCCTGATCGTCAGATCAGCCAACATTGGGCTTATATTTTTTATAATTAACGATGAAAATATATTTAAGGTTATCACAAAGATTTTCGGTATTGAAACCACATTTCTCGACGCTATTTCATGGTCATACCTCTCGATGTCGAGATGATCAAAGAAAGGGTTTTAAAACATTAAACAATCTTTTTCGATAGATTTTTGAGGTGCATCTGTAGTTCTACATTATAAGGTTGCATCCTTATATAAACTTTTTCCTATATAGCCCACTAGCTCATATGAACATATGAGCCTAACAACCCAGATTCAATCTAGACCATTAAGCTCATATGAACTCATATGTTCATACGAGCTAGTGGGCTAATATCAACATTTTCCATATATATATAGTGATTTTACCTACCCTCATCACCATCCAAACTTCATCGTACGGTTACAGTTGTCCGATAGTGTTTCAATTTTTATTTTATTTTTCTACTAATCAGAATAATCTGAAATTTAGAGTGTATGTACAACTTAGTGAGGCACACCTAATTAAAATATGAAAATAATAATTCGTAAAAAATAAATTAGTACATACTACGACTACTTAGTACGTAGTAGTAGTACGTTAGTTAGTAGTTAGTTAGTTAGTTATTTAGTTTAGTTAGTTAGTAGTACGTACGTAC